GTTCTACTTTAGGAGTAGAAATATGAGAACATTTTCAAGTTCAAGTCAGAATATCAGTTTTAAAATGACATTAAAAAAATAGTTTATATATAAAATATATAACCATGTATGTTTTTTGATTCATGTTTCAAAAAATGTATATGCTATTATGGAAATAAACCATAATTGGGCAAATTCAATCAGGCAGTGCAAAAATATGCAAAGTACAGTAAACCAAAGCATCCTACCAGATATCAGCTTACTGCAGTCAGGAATATCATGAAATCTAAATGGGTCCTATGGTTTAATAGACTGCACCTTTCTTGACTAACCATTAGCATACTGTATGAAACCTCTGGCATTTCATATGGGCACCTTCACTTTGCTGACCTCCAGGTATTTAATCTACATTGTTTTAAAATGTTAGTGAATAAATCAGAAGACAAAATGTCATGAGCAGCTGTAGATCCAGCCTCACCATCCATTTACTGTCAAGTGTAAGGGTCCATTCATACTTGGCATAACCAATGCTGCTTATATAGGCTTTTGGCATTTTTATTTTTCCTTCAGCCTGTATACATAGCTCTGTTAGTCTATTTTCCATACATATTAGAAAGTTTACAAGCATGGTTGTGGAGAAGAGCTTTCAGGCAGAGAAATCCAACCCCCACCAGAATCACATATTTTCAAAGGAGCTTTCTAAACGTGGGGCATAAACATGGTGTTTAGAAGCATTCTGCATTTTTAAGTGTACATTTATTATCTGCTTGACTACCACCTTAGATTTACTGTGGCCATTCTGCACTGGATCATGTACCTAGTATGTGATCCGTGTTCCTGCTGGGCCAGCTGTGCTGTGATTCATTACGGCACAAGCCAAGCAGCATGTCCCAGCCAACGATTGAGCATTGGGACCTGCTGATCAGCTCAGTGTTTAACGGACCAGAGCGCCGTTCAATCACAGGATCTTTCCATTTTTTTCCCTTTTCCTAATAAGCAGCGAAGAAAAAAAAAAAATCAGCACATATTACAGATATTATAATAATTAAGCACACATTTAACCCCGTACCATCCAGTGTCACAGTAGCAGTGTATAGTATTAGCACTGATCACTGTATTAGTGCCACTATTTCTGTCAGTGTACCCCACAGCTAGTGTCAGATTGCCCAACACCCTATCACAGTCCCACTGTATGTCAATGATCGCTTTAACACAAACCAAATAATATACACTTATTGGGATTTAAAAAAATTTTTTTATTGGATAGGTTTTATAGAATTCAAAAATAGTTTTTTTTTAAAAATTTTCATTTTTTTTTTCATTTTATATACTAAAAACCCCGGTGGTGGCCAAATACCACCAAAAGAAAGCTCTATTTGTGTGAATTTATTTATAAAATTTCTTTTGGGTACAGTGTTGCATGACTGCGCAATTGCCTTTTAAAGTAGTGCAGTGCAGAATAGCAAAAATAAGCCTAGCCATGAAGGGGGTAAAACCTTTTGGAAGGGCAACTGGTTAAGTAAAAAATGAGCAGAGGGGAATGTTTTGGGGGGGGAAAATGCTTCTAAAAACAAATGCCCATAAACTCTCTAACTCTTGTGCAACATGAGCACTTGAGCATTTTTTTTTTTTTTTAACTGCCTAGTGTGTGTCTGGACCCTTATGTTAACCTTGGTGCACCACTAAAGCTGGCCATATACTGAGCAAATTTTGTCCAATTCCTGTCTAACTAGCTGAAATTTGCTCCGTAGGAGGCCCTGTTGGCACCCCTCGCCTAAACAGCCTTCCTTTAAAAAAAAAATAAAAAATCAAAGGAGCCAGCTAGAAAATTGTTGGCTGAACAGTAGCTGCATCCAATTGGATGCAAACGCTGTTCAGGAATTCTGCCAGTGCAAGCGGTCAACATATAATGGCGGACAATGCAGATCCATCCATGCTTGCTCCATCTAATCAGATGCAAATGCTGTTTCAGTATTCTGACAGCTGCCCGTACAAGCTGTCAGAATATAATAGCCAGTACTGCAGATTTGTCCATCTGCACTGTTTAGTGTGGATGAAGGAATCTGTTGGTTTGTGGGTGCATGGCCAGCTCTATGCTACAATAATCTGTTGGGTGCCAGGTTGTAATCATATAATTTCTTAAGGCTTCCACACAAAATATTAATTCTCTACATCTTTTTGAGGACTGACAAATGCAAACTGAAACTTGGAGCTAGAAAAAAAAAAAAAAAAAACAAAAACATAAAGAAGCATAATTGTTTGAAACGAGCCCCTGTATTTTGGGGTACACAGCAGTGACAACAGGAGGCTTCTGGCTCTTGCACTCCAGCCCTGGCAGCAGCTCCAACCATCTCTGCCAGCAGTGTCATTTCCATTTCAGCCTGTGCTTTCCCCAGTGAGTAGGCAGGGTGGGGATCTGAGATAACTCATACACTGGCTCTGGACTTATTCTCCAAGCCGCTATACCCCAACGTTGTTTGTGAGTGCAACTATGGCTTTTATTTTGTCCATTAAACTTCCTTATGCATGCTACACTATGGGGTGTGTACTCCTCTCCCTCCTTTCTTATTTACACAGGTTCATGTCAGTTCAGCAGCAGCACCCTCTTAGTTATAGCAACTTTTGGACTGTTTCTAATCTGATCTACCCCCTTTTAGATATTAGTATATCCATATTGCTTTTTCAAGGTTTGTATATATTTTTTTTTTTTTTATTCTCAGCCTCGTCCTTTTTTTATTTCATGTTTTTTTTTTTTTCATCACACTCACACAATCCTGATCAGGCTCTGACAATTGTTTAGCTAGTGGAGAGCCTTACTGCTCAGTGCAGCTATTCTGGGGTTTTTCTTTAGTTTGCAGTGGAGATGATTTCTGCCTCCTGTCACTCAAAAGTAAATTCTTTGTTTCAGAGCAGAAGAGTAAGTGATATCACAACTCCCTACGGCATCTACGTTGACACTTGGGAACTGTAAAAAGTAAAACCTAAAATAATAATTGGCACAACATGGCCATGGAAATCATACTGGGTCTTCTGAGAAGCAATCAAGGACAGGAAAACCTCTTACCATCTGATGTCTTAAATAAGATTTACCAGTCAATCATGGCCTCACATTTCAAAAACATTTATTCTTTTCTAAAGTGGTATTACTGTATTAAAAACTATCAAACAGTTTTGATAACCTTACCCATATATCACACAAATCCTGACGGGGCTGAAGCCACAAGCTTTTTAAGCTATATATACATTATTTCCATTTAGGTGATCATAAGAGCACTTAATGCCAGCCAGTACTGAAAGTTAAAATGCCAGCCAGTAATGAAAGAAGCAAAGTTGAACCTTTTAAATTTGTGAATAGAAAACAGGTCTGAGTCTGAAAAGTACCAACTCTGATAGAACCTGCAGAAGAGAGCACCGCAGCACCCATTATATGGTTACACCAGACCCTGCTAATCAGCGACAAGACATGTTAGGTTTGCAGTGGAGTGCTCACACCTTGCATAAACTTCTGGATTAGCTCTATAGCTAATAATTTATAACACACTATCACTACCTTATTAATATTGCACTGGTTAGTACATATACTAAGGCCAGTGCTTTCTGTGTAATTTATGCGCTGGCTATATTTCTACCATTAAAGTGGTAATAAACTTTGTTTTTACCTACAGGTAAGCTTAGCTGTAGGTAAAATTAATATCTCCTATAACCATTCAGGGGATATTCCAGCGAGCAGCAGCCCGCGACATCACCAGCACATGCGATCTGAAGGAAAGGCACAACTCTGCCACGCCCAGGGAGTGAGGTCATCATGCCTCAGCCAGTCACACTGGGTGAAGATGGAAGCCCTGTCAACATACTGGTGGAGAGCTTCATTTTAAGGAAAGTCTTCCATAATGTGCCAGCATGCGAAGCATACTAGCACATTATGCTACCTTGGAGGGGGGGAAAGCTTCTTTTTTTTTTTTTTAAAAGACTGATGAACAGAAATAGTCCCGTTATTCACATGTATTTGCTAGATATTTTTTTTCACGCAACTCTCATTCATCTATTCCATTGATTGCATACACGAGTATGCAAAGTAATAACTACATAAATTCTCACCATGGCCATCGCTGACATACTATAGCAACATCATCAGCACTGCATGATTTGTTGACTGTGTGTTTGTGTTCTTTCACTGCCAGCCCATGTGCAATATCTGTAATACGGTGTGTTTAAATATTTTTTTTTTTTTTTTTTGTAATGGAGAAGTGGGGGTTATCAATGTACACTAATGGTAATGGTTGTGGGAATATTAGCTTACCCAAGGCACATGTACAGCAGGTCCATGTTTGGTCATTATTCTTTATGTTCCTCTGTATTATGGTACTGGATGTAGTCCCCTCACTAATAGATGTGGGACGTAGGCTTAGATTTAGCACACCATACATGTACAGGAGTATGTAGAAAAATGCAGCACAGCAGACATGGCGTGAACAAGCCCTTATTTGTTTTAGTTTGTGTTTTTGTTAGCATGACTAATAAATCCATCTCTGCTCCTATTTCCTGCCATGTCGCTGCAACTCATCAGTAAATCAGTGGGTTGTGTGAAAAAGGCAGGTAATTGTCTACATAATTACTGCTTAGCTATGACTCAGTATGCAAAGTGGAAAATACACAGTACTGTTAATATTAGCAGATATTGATTACGTACACATTACACCATGGTATGCTGTTATATGGAAAAGATAAATTACAGGTAGTTTGCATGCCAAAATGTGAGTACATGCAATGTATGCATCACAACCAAAGTGTTACATTTTGCGAAAAAAGGCACAATCAATGCAATATGGTAATGTGTCTCAATCTGCAAGCAATGTGTATGTCCAACCGTAAAATGTTTGGCATAGACCAGCTTACTTTGCTCTAAATGTAGTCATTTCCAAAAGCACAATTCAATGTGTTAGGTAATACACATTTGCAACGCCTGTCATAGGTTTCCTGATAAAAATGTACACAAACTTTGGTGCAAGTCAGTAGGAAAGTTAAAACACCAGATGCCGGTTCAGCTGCACGCTGTCATTATTTACTTCCTTTAGGTCACCATTGATTGATGTGTTAAAGAGTTTGGAAGCTCCATGGTTCAGGACTATGAAATCTTCCTGCCCAAGTCCATATCGTTCCAATGCTTCGCTCAGTTTCAGTGGTGGGTCCAAGTAATGCTGGGAACAGAAAATTCACAGTTGATCTACGTACTTTTATATATTAAACTATGCATTATGTGTACTTTTTGGTATATTAGACACACCCCAAAGAGAATGTATATTTCCATTATGTTCAGGACAAATTAAATATTGTGTGTGCACATTTCAGATTAACAATGGTCAGAAAAAGGTTGATTGACAGCTAGCTGTGAAATAAACCTGAATAACAGACAAATTTAATTATAAAGGAAGCAGAGCAAGTCAGCAGTCTCTTTTACTTGCTGCCTCCTCAGGAACGATAGCATCATCTGATTTAAGCTGGTTGCAGCCAGGCCCAGATCACCCTGAGAATGCCCATCTTGGGTTAAGGAATGCTCACTCTACCCTGCCAGTGGTATTTTATGCTGTGTTTGTTCTGCCCACTTGGGGAGAAGATTTTGGGTCATTTCAGCAGTCAACGTTTCAGTAACAATGGGCAAAATCACCCGTGATTTGTAATGGGAGATTTGTCTGGATGTACTGTAGCTATTTAGTTTGGTGCTGCTAAAAAGCAGTTGCAAAAGCTTAGTTCTACTTTTCACCAGACCATTTCTATCAACAATCTTCACATATGATCATACACTGCTCAAAAGAATTAAAGGAACACTTTGAAAACACATATCTCAATGAGGAAAAAGATCATGCTGGATAATGTGTTAGGAACGCAAGGATACGTCATCGTTTGATGGAAATGAAAATGATCATCCTACAGCAGACTAAATTCACAGAAACCCCTGAAAATCAAAGTGAAAAAATGATGCAGCAGGCTGGTCCACTCTGCTGAAATTACATTGCAGTAACTCAAAATGGTACTCAGTAGTTTGTATGGCCCCCATGTGCTTGTATGCATGCCTGACAATGGTGGGGCATGCTCCTAATGAGATGATGGATGGTGTCCTGGAGTATTTCCGCCCAGATCTGGACCAGGGCATCACTGAGCTCCTGGACAGTCTGAGATGAAACTTGGCAGCATCATATGGACCGAAACATAATATCCCAGAGCTGTTCTATTGGATTTAGGATCAGGCGAGTATGGGGACCATTCAATGGTTTCAATTCCTTTATGCTCTAGGAACTGCCTGCATACTTTCGCCACATAAGGCCGGGCATTGTCATGCACCAGGAGGAACCCAGGACCCACTGCACCAGCGTAGGGTCTGACAATAGGTCCAAGAATTTCATCCCCGATACCTAATGGCAGTCAGGGTGCCATTGTATAGCCTATAGAGGTCTGTGCATCCCTTCATGGATATGCCTCCCCAGATAATCACTGACCCACCACCAAAACAGCCATGAGGAACGATGTGATGGGCAGCATGACATTCTCCATGGTTTCTCCAGACCCTTTCACATCTGTCACATGTGCTCAGGGTGACAGTGCTCTCATCTGTGAAAAGCACAGGGCGCCAGTGGTGGACCTGCCAGTTCTGGTGTTCAGTTGCAAATGCCAATCAAGCTCTATAGTGCCAGGCAGTGAACATAGGAAACACTACAGTATGCCAGCCCATCAGGCCACCCTCATGCAGTCAGTTTATGATTGTTTGGTCAGAGACATTCACACCAGTGGCCTGCTGGAGCATATTTTGTGGAGCTCTGGCAGTGCTCATCCTGTTCCTCCTTGCACAAAGGAGCAGATACCAGCCCTGCTGATAGGTTAAAGACCTTCTACAGCCCTCTCCAGCTCTCCTCTAGAGTAACTTCCTGTCGCCTGAAATCTCCTCCACACTCTTGAGACTTCTGTATTGATGTGCCATCCTGGAGGAGTTGGACTGCCTGTGCAACCTCTGTAGGGTCCAGGTATCGCCAGTAGTGACCCTGACTCTAGCCTAATGAAAAACAGACAGAGAAGATGAGTAGGGGAAAAAAAAAAAAAAATGTAAGTGGCCTCCAGCTGTAAAACCATTCCGTTTGGGGGGATGTTTCATTGTTACCCATCTAGTGCACCTGTTCATTTCATTAACACCAAAAGCAGCTAAAACTGATTGACAACCCCCTCTGCTACTTAACTGACCAAACCGCCACTATCCCAGAAGTTTAATTGAGTTGATGCTATACTTAGATTAAAAAAAGTGTTCCTTTAATTTTTTTGAGCAGTGTATATACATGCAACAGATTTTAGACATTAAACATATATGTGTTGCATAGATATTGAACGCCTTGAGACTGCTGCTGGGCACTGCTATCTTAGATGTGAGATCAGTAAACTCTGAACTGTCTCTTAAAGTGTTACTAAACCCACAACAGTAAAATCAGTCTGTATATGCAGTAAAGCATGCTTGTTATACTCACTGTGGAACCTAAGGGGTTAATCCTCTGCATTGTGTAAAAATGCTGTTTGATCCTATCTTCTCTGATCCTTCCCTTCTTTCCTGATAAGATATATCGGGTGGAGACACACTGCACATGCTCAGTTTGGTGTGTATTGCTAGAGAGGTTTTTTTTTTTTTTTTTTTTTTTTAATTGGAGAGTGCATGTGATCAGCACTGACCAGAGGTCAGGGGTTCTGCATCCTTCTGGAGCAGAACAAAAAACTGCTACAAGCTTTAACTAGTGCTCTGCTGAACACGGATAGAAGTCACAAGACTGCGCTAATTGCTGATGAGAAAAATGTATATAGCAATGTATATTTACTAAAATAATTGCACGTCCCTGTTCTGTGTACTGTGGGAGACCAGATAGAAAGAATGCAGGGTCCTGGGACTAGTAACACTTTGTGATATGCTATAGTATTTCCCCTTTGGTCCTCCCTCAGCAGCTACACAAAAGGTAAGGTAAGTAGAAGAAGACAGGGGCAGAGAAGCTAGGCCAGTACAAAGAGTAATTAGATGTGCTAGAAGCGAGTGCTATGACATGCAATGAGGATGTGGCCTGTGCTAGGGACCTGACTCTTCCTGAAGTAGTACACAAAGTACATCTTTAAAATACATGATTTTTCTGGGCTTTTACTTGCAATTTGTTAGGTTGGTGACAGGGCCTCACTAGCAAAAGGTTCATACTGGAAAACGATGGTACCTCATTAGCTAGTGCAAATGTTCCCCAGTGAATCCCAACAGACTTTTTGGCACGGACATCAGCATGAATTCTGACCGCTTCTTCTGGATCCACATGTTGACACCTCATGAACCATCTATAGAAATGAAAATAAGATTTAAAAATTGCACAGATGAAGAAAAACTAAATAAGTTTCAGAAATACTTTAAGTGCATTACTCATAATATTTCATGCACATTATATTTATCTGCAGAATTCTTGACATATACATTTTAATCATCCCAAGTAAAATGTATAGACACAAGCTAGGAAAGTTGGTCTGGTTGATTTTTATGGCGTATAAAATGTATGTAAACCCAAATACTAAAGGTTGTGGAAATAGCCTATTTTTTGCTTTTTATATGAAGCTGTGCAGGTTTTTTTTTTTATATTGATGTAAGGGTTATTCTAATGTGTGGCAGCCCTTGCCGTTCCTTAGAATAGTGATCTGTGGTGGATTACTTTTACTAGGGTCCCTGAAAGGCAACTGGAATGCAATACGTTGCATCCTCACTGCCCGTTTTAACCCTAAGGCTAACCACCAAGCCACAACCATGTGTACTGTACTTGATTGCTGCATAGTCCAATGAATTTTAATGGGTCATGTTTGGCAGTGTTTTTACCCATCGAATGTCATTTTGACTAGTTACACTTTAAGTTTTCTGTAAAATGTTCAGATATACTAACAAAAACAATATTTTCACTTTAGGTCTAAAGTTCTCTTTTGTATAGAAATATAAATAAAGGAGGTGCAAGCGCCTTAAATAAAATAAACCAAAAAAGCTGCTGTGCACAAAAAGGTATCCAATAGCACCCTAAAACATAGAAAATAGACAAGGAAGTACAGCGCTGGAATAAATAAATTGTCCAAAAGACTCTGTGTATACAATCACTAAAACCACCAAATAAAATAATTCACTCTAAAATCATAAATTGGTAGAATCAAAACGTTCCAATGTAAACAGTATATAAAGTGACTCTCGTGCTTAATGACTCTGGATCTGGTATCAGTGCAGTAGTGGTAATGATAATGCACACTCACATGACGCGCATAATTAATGCGCTTATGTTATAATCCAGATGTCATCAGACAGGTATTATGTAGATGGACTTTCCTCTCAGAGATGGGGGGTCGTCAGGTTAGATGTTATGGGGTTGCTACCCCGCTCGCAGATCTCGTGGGATTTGGTAGAAGGCCGTGAAATCTCGTGGGATGTGGAGCTGAGGCAATATGCCATACCCTGAGGGTTGATCTGCATATCCAGAGAGTTACTTCAGGTTGAATGTAAAGGAGCTTTAAAGGACGAGGACCATCTTTACCAACCCCATAACATCTAACCTGATGACCCACCATCTCTGAGAGGGAAGTCCATCTACGTAATACCTGTCTGACGACATCTGGATTATAACATAAGGTGCATTAATTATGCGCATTACTATTACCACTACTGCACTGTTACCGGATCCAGAGTCATTAAGCAGGAGAGTCGCTTTATATATTGTTTACATTGGAACTTTTAGATTTTACCAATTTCTGATTTTAGATTGAATTATTTTATTTGGTGGTGTTAGTGATTGTATACGCAGAGTCTTTTGGACGATTTATTTATTCCAGCGCTGCACTTCCTTGTCTATTATCTCTGTTGTATAGGACACAGCTTGATCAGTAGGTGGTATAATACCCCAATGATCTACTCATCCGGCTTCAATTAACCCAAAGAAAAAAAAAAAAAAAAAAAAAAAAAAAAAAAATTTACAGTGAGTACAAAAATCCCATTTTTTTCTTTTGTTCATTGAACGACACAGCTGGATCAGTAGATCATTAGGTTATTACACCACCTTCTGATCTGGCTGTCCTTCAATGAACTCTGTTTTACAGCAAGTATAAAAATCTAATTTTTGTTTTAAATGGAACCAAACAATAAGGCACTGTTCACATTATTGCGATTTCTTCTGCATCTGTCATTGAGTTGCAATAAACATGCATGGGGGGGGAAAAAAAAAAAAAAAAAAAAAAAAAAAAAAAAAAAAAAAAAAAAAAAAAAAAAAAAAAAAAAAAAAAAAATCGCATAATTTTCTATCGTGCCCGATCACAGCAATGTAACATGATGAGCTTCTTTTGGTGCACCAGAATGTGTTTCTGGCCCCATATGCTTCAATAGGACCAGAGCTCCAATCAGATATACATTTTATTGGATTAGTTCTTTTTAAATCTGTTTGCGGACATAAGATCTTCCTACCAGAGCTGCAAAATGTGACCAACAGTGGAATGGTCAATAAAACCTCCAACAGCCAGCAAATCTAAAATACTAGATTTGGATGGAAGTTAAGTCATCTCTCCATTTTGGGTAAGGTTGGAGAGGATGAAACATCTACTACCTGCTAGTAATCCAGTGTAGAGATCTAGCTCAAGCTGGCAGATCGCCCACTGCTGGGCACAATTTTTCTCCACTTGGATTTAGGCCTGGTAGGTATGGAACTAAAGGTTGCTTGTATGAGTCTTCAGCTCCTTCTATTGCCAGGAATAAATGTCAGCTGTAATTGGGACTATTTTAAAATGTGCACAACTCTTCTCTGTAGTATTAATATCCAAATGAGTGCTTAAACCAAAGAGCTAATGTTGTCTTAGGTGGCAAGTTTAAAATAAAGCCAAGAGATAGTATATACAATCCTTCAAAATGTTGGCCAAGAGAGCATGGCTTGTAAATCCTAGAATAAGAACTGCATGACTAAATCTGTGCTGTGTGCAATCACTAATTCAGTTATTTCACATTGTAATACTCTACTACTAATACGGTTCAATGCTAATGATGTATGTGCTTGCCATTTATATTTTTATTATTCTCTTTTCATTTACAAAGAAAATATAAAGTTTTTTTTTGGTTGCACAACAAACTCTCCCATACCTTGGCTCATAGGCTCCAATGGGAATTGCTGCTACATCAAAGGGTCCAAATCTTTTCCCAATCTGTTCAAAAGCAGCACAATAACCAGTGTCGCCGGCAAAAAAAAACCTATTTGAGGGTCCGAGAACAGACCAGCTACCCCATAGTACTCTGTTATCATCAAATGGTGTCCTTTTGCACCAGTGCTGGCAGGGGGTAAAAAACAAAGGTCACCTCATCATGTCCAGGAACACAATTTTGCTCCCACCAGTCTAATTCAATTACATTTTCACAGCCACAGCTTTGCATCCAGTTTAAGAGCCCCAAGGGAACAAACCACCTCAGTTCAGTACCAAACCGCTGATTCAGTCCAAGTACAGTGTTGTAATCCAAGTGATCATAATGGTTGTGACTGATCACAACAGCATCGATTTTTGGAAGCTGCTCTACAGTACATGGTGGTCCTCTAAAACGCTTTGGGCCTGCAATACTTATTGGAGAGGCTCTCTGACTGAAGACAGGATCTGTCAGAAATATCAAGTCATCCATTTCCACCATGACTGATGCATGCCCCAGCCAGGTGATCCGTATTCCATTCTCTATCTTGCCTGCAGACTCAGGATGTTGCACAAAATATGGCTCAATAATTGGAAGTTCCCGATCAAGTTCCTAGAGGAAAAAAAAACAAGATTGTTACCAGTATACACATTTTAAATGAAATAAAACAATGGATATGTCAAGGAAAAAAAAAACAAAAACAATTCATATTTAGTACATCTTTGCTACACATGCACATCTGCCCATGTGTTATTCTATGAAAGATGCTACAAGGAAAATACCTGTTGATTTGACAGAAATCCGCTGAGCTCTTTCATATTGTGGCCTTTTGTGGACTGAGTGTCAGTCCTGCCCATTGTCTTTTACTAAACTACACAACAACATCCACTGTCTTCTTATATTTGGAACAACTGGCTTCAGAGATCAAAGAAAAGAACATGGAGGGCTAAATAGTGTCTTTGAGATAACACACACAGGCTCTGAATGTCTGACAAGATCAACAGTTTTTTTGCACTTAAAAATTATTACAAAATGCTTTTATATTTATCAGACCATAAAGGGAGCAAAATAACAGTAGTTCATAGTTAGGGTTTACATACACATTAAAAAAATGATTTAAAAAGGAAGATGGGACAATTGCATTTGTGATGAATCAAACAAATAAATGAATCTACAACTGAGTTAGCAAACAATGGACAGCTTTTTGTGAGTATGCTATACAGTGGGGCAAAAAAGTATATAGTCAGCCACCAATTGTGCAAGTTCTCCCACTTAAAAAGATGAGAGAGGCCTGTAATTGGTATCATAGGTAGACCTCAACTATGAGAGACAAAATGAGAAAGAAAATCCAGACAATCACATTGGCTGATTTGGAAAGAATTTATTTGCAAATTATGGTGGAAAATAAGTATTTGGTCACCTACAAACAAGCAAGATTTCTGGCTCTCACAGACCTGTACCTTCTTCTTTAAGAGGCTCCTCTGTCCTGCACTCATTACCTGTATCAGTGGCACCTGATTGAACTTGTTATCAGTATCAGTTATCACGTTGAGTGACAGGCCAAATGACAATGCAAAGTGCAGGCATATAAAAAGTGAACCTGTGCAAATGACTTTCAGACAAAGAAATGGAGACTGGTAATGTATGACTCCAAGGCCACACAAATATTAATGGAAAAAGACAACTGAACTAGATTATTCCAATCTAAATTCCACATTAATGTCGCAAAACAATTCAGTACAATCTCTGAGATACTTTATTTGCACTAACAGTCACATTTTCAGGACTAGATTTCAGGGTGTTCCCTTCTTCTCAAACCAAGCAGTACTGTTGGACCTGAAAATATAAAGCGGAACGAAAGTTCCGCTGCTGTTCCCTGCAAGCAGGCATTTTTTTTTAATGCAGAAGAGACATGCAATGCTCTTCTGCAAAAAAAACACACTTACCTGCCTGTTTGCAGCATTCCTCATCATGTAAACTTAGCTGTGCACACTGGCCTTCTGCGCATAAGCAGGAGTGACGTCATCCAGCATCAGCCAATGGAAATGGCCAAAAACCGTCACACAGGGGGAAGATGTCAGGGAGGGATGGGACCGTTGGAGGAAAGAAAAGTTTAACCACTTGAGCTCTGGAAGGTTTTTTTATTGTTTAATATTTTCTTTCATTACATGTTCAAATAAAAAATAGAACAAAAACACAGAAGCTCTTGTGAATGGGAGAACATGTTACAATGATGGGTCACATCAGAGACAGCCAATAGACAAAAACTGTGTAGTAGTCACAAAAGTACAGTGTACAAGTAGTAATCCAAGAGCCATTACAAATGCATACAATATGGCTTACATAGAGTGCATCATTTTTAATTCTCAGTAGAAAAAGCAAAGGGGAAGTAAAAGGAAAGTGGGAAAAGAGTCGAGTAGGAAGAAAAGGGTAAGGCTAAAGGAAAACCCATCATAAACAGGGAACAGCCACAAAAGCAATAGAGATCCCTCAGAGGCATGAGATGATATCACAACACAAAGAAGTGGATTGAACTCAAACCAACATGCCCATATTCTAGAGAGCTTGTCGGTGGTGCCCCTGGCAATATTCGCAAGTTCTTCTAGAACAGGTCTAAAATTTCAAGTCCTGAGCTATTATCCAGGCCTTCGAGTTACTCACCACCAACAAAACACACACAAACAGAGATACCTGTACACACACACACACACACACACACACACACACGCACGTATAGACACGCATACACAGATACATGTACATACACAGAAATACACACACAGACATACACATGTACATACACGCTGACATGTACAGATACACACATGTACATACACACAGACACATGTACAATTGTACATGCATACACAGACACACACACAAACACACATATACACTTACACACACACACCCCACCCCCCCCCCCCCCCCCCCCATAAAAGGTCGCAGTACTTCGTTGTTCACTCACAGATCCGGGTACTGCACTCTAGGGGGAGGCAGAGAGCACAGCACACACTCCTTGCTTTGCTTTCACTGCGCTCAGCTATTGAGCAGTCTGACGGCTCCCAGTGCCAATGACAGATCCGGCCTGAGCTCCGAGCCTGCTCAGCAAGACGGCCCTGGGGGGCACACTCGCCCCCACCATAATTTCCACTCGCCATTGGCGAGCATTCGAGTGGAAATTTCAAGCCCTGTTCTAGAAGACATAGATCATCTACTTTACACTGCCACTGGGTCAAAGTAGGTACAGAGTATTGTCCCCAGTAAAACGGGATCAAGAATTTAACAGATGCGGAGTTATCAACCACTTATAATGGGCCTACTGGTTCTGTTCTAGAATGAAATAAGATTGACTAAGTGACCAGCCTAACAGTGTCGCCTTGTATCAAAGGGATCATGTAGCTCTGGAAGGTGTTCCCCCTTCATGACCTGAGCATTTGTTTGCTATTTAGCACTGTACTACTTTAACTGGTAACTACTCGGTCATGCAAAGCTGTACCCAAAATTAATATTTATATAATATTTTCACACAAATAGGGCTTTCTTTTGGTGCTATTAGATCTTCACTGAGTTGTTTATTTTTAATTATATTAACGAAAAAAAGGCCAATACGTTTATAAGAAAAACTATAAATATTCTAATTTGTTATAAAAAATACCCAATAAACTCAAATTTCCTCATAAATTTAAGCCAAAACGTATTCTGCTACATGACTGGTAAAAAAAAAAAAATACCAATAAGTATTAGTTTGTGTGAAAGTTATAGTGTCTACAAACTATGGTAATATCTAGTATACTGGAATTGAAGCAGCTTTTACTTTCTGACTGCCCATCATATTTCTTGAGGTGCTAAAATGCCAAGGCAGTACAAAAAACCCTCAAATAACCATTTTTGGAAAGTAGACACCCCAAGGAATGTGCTGAGAGGCATGTTGAGCCTATAGAAATTCTTATTTCTTCTTGTAAGTTTTTAAAAAAATGACAAAAAAAAACCCCACACACAAAGTTGTATACACATGCCATGGGTATACCTGGAATTATAACCCAAAACACAATCTGCTACTGCTCCAGAGTATGGGGCTACCACGTTTGACACTTCTTGGGAGCCTAGCCATGTAAGGGGGCCCAAAATCCAATGACCAACTTCAGGCTTTCAAAGGGCGTAATTTCCTCATGTTGCTTCCTCACTACTGGTCAGTTTCGGATGCCCTAAAATGCCAGGATAATACAAACTCCTCTCCAAATGACGCCTTTTTGGAAAGCAGACACTCTATGATATTTGCTAAGAAGCATATCGTGTATTTTGCAGATCTCATTTGAGATCTGCAAATGAAGAAAATGAAGGAAATCTCATTTGGAAAAGGAAGAAAGCAAATGAACATGTATTGTTTATTTTCTTTTTTCATTTTCCAAAACCTTGTGCCAAAAATGAGATTTTCAAAATACTCACCATGTCTCTTTTCAAATTCTTTGGGGTGTCTACTTTCCAAAAAGGGGTCTATCCTGGCATTTCATGTCCACCGAAACTGTGATAGTGAGGAAGAGACATGAGGCTAATGTTGAGCATACATGTAATGTGTTTTCCATGCAGCCTGTGGGCTGAATGAAAAGAAAAAAATAATCTAACAGATTCCTCTATTCACATTGATCGATGTTAATAAAGAAATCTCAGCCAGAAGAAAAAAAAAAAAAAAAAAAAGTGAAAAACCTATATGCCCATTCATAGGAGCTACCACCCGCTGACCACCCCACGCTCCTCTTGCTGGGGCGTAAAAAAAAGAGAAAAAAAAAAAGGAAGGAAGAACAGATTCCTCCATTCACAGTCAATTAATGTGGATGAAGAAATCTCTGCTAATAAAAATGTAAAATGTATATACCGGACAATAGGAGTGATCCACCCACTAACCAGGCCCCTCATGCTATGGCATACACTAGGGATACACTGATACCAATTTTTAAAGACCCAGAACGAGAACCAGTTTCCCTCAAGTACTTGCCAATACCAATTACCGACACCTATTTTAAGGGACATGTAACAGTGCCAGAAGTACAGTAAGAGACATGTAACAATAGTACTCTGGTGCCAGAAGTACAGAGAGAGACATGTAACAGGACTCACCAACAGAACGAGACATGTAATAGGACTTAGTGCCAGAAGTACAGCAAGAAACATGTAAAAGCACTGAGGACTCAACAACAGAAGTACAGCAAGGGATATGTAACAGGACTGCCGGAAGTACAGCAAGGCACAAGACTCAAACGCCAGACGTACAGCAGTCAGCAAAGGACATGTACAGCAGTCGGCGAGGTACATGTAAGCACTCGCCGCCGCCCTCTTCGCCTCCGTCACTTCCAGTATCGGTTTCAGGTATTGGTGCATTTGCACAAGTACTGATACTCGTGCACATGCCTAGTATCGGCACAGACACCAGTATTGATGCATCCCTAACGTTATATATACACGTTCTTTTTTTTTTTTAACTGCAGATGAGATATCTCCAACACCCTGCTTTTATCAGAATAAACAGATCAGTGCTACAGCGGATTGGCATTCCTGCAAAGCCAACAGCGATTAACAAAAACGATATAACATTAACTCAATGAAATAACTTTTTTCTTTCACTTTTTGTAACTTATAACTATAAAACTTTCTAGCCTTTTATTTTTAAGGTCTCTCAAAATGCGATAGCTTCCAGACTATACATCTTTCAAGAGCCTTGTGTGTGAATTGTGTGCCCTAGTGTTTGCCATGCTGTACCCTAGACTATTGTGGGGTAGCGACGGATACAATCCTTAATGCAGAGACCAGGTTGACCAGGACAAGAGGAAAAGAAAAAAAGTTATCTTATTCCGTGTCTACTACAGGCACATTCTCTTTGGGGTGACCTTTGTGTTGGGGTACTAGAGAGCACATCTGGAAAATGCTTCTCATGCACCTGGTTAACTGCATCTGGATTTGGGGTTTGGGCCACAGCACCTTCTGGATACAAAAGGGCCGTGATGATGACTTCCTGAAATTTTAGGAAGGATCCACTTCTTCCTGTTGCTTTGTAAAATTATGAAAGCATTATATACAGCCAATTGAAATAAAAAGACACCTTTTTGTACCTGTGTCTACCTCTGCAGGAAACTAAATACGACTTCCTCATTTGGTCATTGAAGTCTTTGCCTCCCATATTGATTATATTCATGGACACAGAGGGGCTTTTCAAATACACAAGATACAGTGCAAATTTGGACTGTCATATAGTTTGTCCTTCCACTTCACTGCAGGATTTCTCCCCCTAAGTCGGGAATTATTGAGCTGTTGGGGGAAGTCCGAACAATTAGGTGGCACGGTGCCACAGCAGCCAATTCCAAGGTTGAATAAGTGTCTAAAAAGTGCCACATACAAATGGTACCCCTTCCAAAACAAGGGTGACAACAAGTCCCATACTATCCGGCCATTGCTCCCCATGTAGTGTGGGCATCCAGGGGGGCTCCACTTCACTGTCTCTTCCCTCAAACTATAGATTTGTATGTATAATCTGTTCCCCCCTCACCAGGCTAATACATTTTATCCCCAGATCTAGCATGCTTGCTGGGGTGATACTGCTTGATTGCAAAGTGCCCAGTGAAATGTATAAAGGAATCGTCTATGCAGATGTTTTGATGGGGCGTATACACATCTGTGAATTTCTCGGAGAAGTAGTTTATGAGGGGCTGAATTTTGTAAAGCCGATCATATTCAGAGTCACCCTGAGGACAACAGAGTGTATGATCACAAAAATGCATGAAATGCATTATCGTCTCATATCGTTTCCTGACCACTGCAGCAGAGAACATGGACATATGGTGAATCGGGTCTGTGAACCAATAGAACCACGGTTCATTCTTTTTTGTTCAAGATTCAAGGGGAGTTGTTAAATTTGCAGTTGATTCAAGGGGAGTTAAAATTTCAGTTTCCAACTGAATTACAGGTTGGGCTATGAATGGCGGAATAACAGATGTTGCTGAATCTGGGGGCTGCCAATCAGGATTTGCAAGCACCTCTGGAAGGACACTATGGGCTCAACGGTCTGTGTGCAGTTTCTTGATGGCTGCAGGATGCTTCAAGTGCTAGCTACCTCGCCAGTTGGACTGCACTTCTGGGAATCGCTATGTCACGATGAGATACTGAAGTGTTTGGGTGTAAAAGGCCAGGATATACTAGGCCGCTGGTGCTTGCCAGTCCACCAAAAGGTAGTGCGCATTAGTATTTCACCCTGCTGCATATGAGAAAACTCATGCGTTCCTAGCACCTCCGCTACCTGGGGTCGGGTACACCTGATCTTAATAGGGACCATTTCTCCATCGTCTGAGCTCCCTGTTGGGGTGTCGCTGCTTTCTTCAGGTTTGTATCTGGAGCCTGATTCTAACAGTAAAGCTTCCCCTTTGCTTTCATATGTCACACTCAGAATACTGTAGGCCTATTCAATAGTCTACCTTTCACTAAATGTATAGGTACCTAATGCAACTGAGTAAAAATCTCAAGGTTGTCAAGGACTGCTTGAACCGCTAGAAATAGAATTTACCTACTAGTGCTAGAAGAAAAGGCTTAATTCTGCTAAAGCTACAGTTCGGCGTATTGCAGGTATTGGGCATGATCCTGCCCACGCTGCGTTTTTGGGAGCAGTATACTAAGGGCATACTAGTATATCTCTGTTTAATATATTGATCCGGAGATACACTATACTAGTAATGGTGGTGGTCAGCAACCTATAGTGTGAAATAGTGTGCGGGCAATCTAACACCCTGGCTGGGAAGGACACTACCTGACAATAATACAGTGATCGATGAAAAATACTGTACAACGACAATGTACTGATGGCACTGGCTGGGTGACCAAAGGTTTAACTGAGGGTGATCAAAGGGTGTGTGTGTGTGTGTGTAAATGTGCTGAATTTTACTCACAGTACGAGTCTCTTTTCCTCCTGGTCCGAAAAGGGTCCAGTAAGAGAATAACCAGCTAGATCAAGCACCTGTATTTTCAAATACAGGCACAAGGGCGATCTGTTATTAGTTGCAGGCGATCAACAGGGTCCCAGGCAAAATCATTGACTGGGACCCTCTGAAACTCATCCTGTAGCCAATGACAGCAGGGGTTACTGCACACGGACCCAGAAGAAAGCAACGATGTACAGGTATGTCGCTGTGCCTGTAGGTACCCCGTCCACAGTACATCGCAAGAAGGCGGGCAGTCCTGAAGTGGATAAGCTGCCTATAGTTCCACTTTATCAGTTAGTGCAAATGAAAAAAAAAAAAAATCAAAATAACACGAAGATCATGCGCAACCGTTTTGTTGCAAGTGCACGAATATGGCTTCAATCACCTTAAACATGGGTGTGATTAATTCTCATGAAACTATCCAGAATTTTAATAGAAAAGAAGCCCTTCTGGAGTAGCCAAGATCCATTGGCATTCAATTCAGTTATGAAATCTCCCTCTTGCATCCCTCAAACGGGACAATCTACAGCCCAATAAGACTGTACCTAGAGATGTGAAAGCAGTTTGGATATGGTGTATTTTAAGTCGTTGTTCACATGGGTGTACATCCATATAAGGACCGTGTTTGCCTGCATGGTATGCACAGGTGTTCTGGCTATCAGCAAGCAGGCAGTCCCATTCATGGTAATTGTGGTACAGCCACTACTCCCAATCTGACACCATTTGAGTTTGGGGACATGTACCCGCACAGACTTTACGCAAATGTACACCCGTTTCCCCTAAACGGGAAAACGTGGCCCTCACAGGGGCATATGCTTTAATACTCCCACCTTGGCCTGAGCACTCGCATGGACACAAATTTCAAAATGCAGATGGCAGTCATTACGTTTTTGCTTGAATTGTTAGAGAAAATTCCACTATGAAGCATAGGTTTTCCATAATCAAATATTGACTGATGTTGCACTTCTTTGTAAAAAAAAAAATGTATAGGTCGTATTTAACAGTGGATTATGTTCATTTTCTATAAATAAAATGTTAAAAAAAATAAATAAAAAAGGGAACAAACTTGTATCACACATACCTCCTTTGAATGGGGGACACTGCTATTATCCTTCTCAGTTATAACCCATTTCAGAGCACTGTGAAAGGCAGGAGTCTTCCAGGTAGACCAAGGATTGACAAATCTCCCATTCTTGCCCTTTACAGACTTAGTCACATCCTCTTCTAACCTCAAATCCAGCTTGAAGCTTTTTCTAGAAGACCGTGAAGACTCGCTGCTTCTTGAACTGCGTGTTGAGTTTTGGCGTTTCCGGACTGTCTCTTTTGGATACTGATTAGATGTTAAACATTCTTCATCTCTTTCATCTTCTTCTGAAGCCTTATATAATCTAAAAACAGAAGTTTGAAATCTATATTATGTGTGCAATTTATATAGAACACATATTGCTACATGTATAGAATTACTAAACAAAAATCCAAGTTATACTAAAGAAGAAAAGTCATCAGGACAATGTTTTAGAGGCAGCAATATGAAGTGTCTCCTATTCAACCTGGTTACACGTATATCAATATGTACTTTTATTACAAGAGAAGACATGATATATTTACAGAATTTGCAAATTGCTAGTAAACATAAGATATCTGTGGTCAGTCTCAAGTAAATGAGAAATTTTCCATGACGAATACTATCCATGGTCATTGCTGTGAAACTCTTGTTTGTATGCCCATTCTTCATTCTTCCCTTGCCTGATGATCACCAGTAACAATGACATCTTTGATGCATCGCCACACAATGAGTCCGTGTACAGCTATCAAAAAGCAGCATTGAAATCTGAAAACCAGAGAGAGCTGACCAAACTTATATAATACATATGTCAAGAAATTACTACTATGAACAATACATGACAATATTATTTAAGATCAAGATTAGTAGTCTGAATTATGTATTTAAATGGCACGATACGCTCTTTGGATAAAATACCTGAATATCTGAAGTTCATAGGAATTGGGGCAGTTATGTAACCAGCAAACAGAAGAGAGAATGCAATTAACATGAGAATGTGACAGCTGAGCGTAGATAGAAACATCACTGTCACTGCAATCTGCACTGTTCTAGAGGAATTCAGATGAAGCCGCACAATAGCACTCCTCTGAATGGTATAAGCAGCAGTTCTACCACTCATTGCTCTAATGTACAAGTATAGTGTAAGCTGCATCAAGCAGATTTAGGTCAAGTGATATTTATTGACCTTGGTTATATACCATCAATCAGATCAAGTATTAGATTGTAAAGAGCTGTGCAAACTGTTGACACTATAAAAATCCTGTATAATAATAATAATTTTAATCTTATAATACAGTACATCATGGATACACAGTAGCTTAGATTGATACTAAAGCTAAAAATATTTTTTACCTTAATGCATTCCTTGCATTAAGGTAGAAATTTTTATTTTTTATTTTTATGTCCTCTCCCTTCCCTATGTGGAGGAGGAGGAAAGAACAGATCCACCGCTATGCATGGCTGCATCTATTCCCCCCTCTCTTTCCCTTCACACAGGACTCGAGCAGCATCAGGAGCCATTGGCTCCTGCTGCTGTCAATCAAATTCAGTAAGGAGGAAGTGGGGGATGGGGCTACGTCCCACTGTGTGTGTCTATGGCATGCAGCTCGGGAGCAAGTGGACACTATGTGCCCCTATAGCAGCCGTTTGCTATGGTGACACACGAAGAAGAGGAGAAGCCAAGATAACCGGCAGGGGACCCGAGAAGGAGGAGGATCAGAGTTGCTCCAATACCATTGCACAGAGCAGGTGAGTATAACAAAAAAATAAAAAAATAGACTTTAACACTTTACAATTGCAAACAAGACCAAACTAGAGACACTATATAAAATTGTATGCCGCTATAAATGCCACGATGTTTCCAAACTGAAAATCAATACTTTTCACAATGCATGTGTACAGACATGCAAAGAAAAGAGTGGCCTATTATGCTGTCTGTCTTATGTGGTGTGTGCAGTGTTAAGTTGTAATGCTTTTTGTAACCCTTTTACATAATTTACTGTGGAAAATTTTTCAATAAAAAATATTGGAAACGAAGAGAGTGGCCTATAAAAGAATGCATTATTCTACCCTCTTAATGAACACTGATCTAAGTTTAGACCAAGAGTTTCTCCTGATCACCTATTCAACTTTTGGTTTTTCATCACCTTTTTGTACCAGCGAAAGTCACCTGGACATATTGGGAGATATCAACAAAGAGTGGTGCACGCATAAAGCCTGCCCCACTTTTCCAAACTAAGAAAAACAGAGCTGAGACTGTTTCTAGTAACTTTGGGGGCACACGCCAGAGAGCTGTAGCTACTTACTACGGTTCGTTCACTCTGCTGCTCAGGAGGAAGGCTGTTAACCCTGCATTTACAGTCACTGACAGCCAGGAATAAAGAGAGACATATCAGTTGTCTGTCAGGCTACCAGCAGACAGTATGCCAGGTTCAATTTGAGATCTGCAGTTTTGTATATTGTATCCCTTTGCTAATTAGGGGTCAAACTCAAACCCATTTGTTATCTCACACACAAAAAGAAATAGATGCAGATAAACTTGCAAGAGGTCTATTTGTTAATGTGGCACATGCCACTCATGCCAGTTTAATGTGCCATTCTAAGGGGTGCGCAAGGCTTTATTACCTTCTCCCATTCCCTCTAAAAGTTTTGGCTTTAGATACAAAATTCATTTTAACTGAGTCGATATTACAGTCTCAGCAACAGTCTGTTGAGCAAAACTACGAAAGGAAACAAAAATCGCATGTTTATATTGTTATTTTTTTATATAAATATTAAATATAAATGTTTTTAAATATAAAAGCATTGTCGCTTACTTCCACAGAACTCACAGGCTCTCCAGCCGGAGTTATAAATCTGCAGATATTCACATCTTCGTAACAATTCATCAGCTTTAGATTTCCCTGCTTCAGCATGGGAATATTACAGTGCATCTTAATGTCAAACTTTCCTAGGGTTCTGAATAATTTATTGTAAGAACGTCAAAAATACACCCAAGGCAGTCACAGGGAGCGAAACCAGCCCTGTGCATAGCGGAATACAGCAGACTAGCACCTGCATTATTATGTAACAGTTTTATGCAGCCTCTAGCACCTTCTTTAGGCATTATGGCAGTTGTTAATGCTATGTGTAATATCCCCAGACTATTCTATTTATAACATAGCTATTCATATCTACTGTGAGCCCAGGAATACTGATCATTCTTGCAGGTTTTACATTCTGGGGAAACTTGAAAGATGAAGTTATTGTTGAATGCTACCTAAAGCTTTTAAAACCTTTGTGCTTGGAAGCCAGTGGAAAACCCTGACTTGTGACAGTCATAACAGTTCTGATCCAATGACAGCTATTCACATTACATGCAATGTGCTTAATATATTGCACCCACCATTTGAATGCACTCTGCCATTATCACACTAAAGCACAACTTATCTATAGCATTTTCAATTATTTAATTCACTTGCTAAAATGTTAATCACACAGATATGCCAAATTTTCTGTACACGTTAGATTATTGATTTTCCTGAAAAAGACAAAAAAAAAAAAAAAGCCAAAAACGTAAAAAAGTTAATTTTTTATATTAGTTGTGCTCCATTCAGGAGCCAGTGGAGAGATCCCCAGGAGGGAGAGAGTTGTGATGTCCCAGGAACAGGGCCATTAAATGGGAAGGCTCATTTGACCTATTGCTTACACTTCTAGGTCCAAAAGTTCAGGTGAGAGCACATTATGAATGGTGGTGCCATTGATGCAGGTAAAGAATTAAAGAAGTATTTCTCAGCACTTGGAGAAGGCACAATTGAAGGGACTTGTGTAATGGACATGTTTATGTAATTTATACTATTTTTGTCCCTTTAAGGATAATAAGTGTTACTGTCACTCAAAGTAAAATGATGAATGCAACAGAGAGATTGATTGTTTTGGGTATTTTTGCTGATTTATAGTGCTATTTTACACATTATTTAATTTACTATTGAAGCACTTACAAGAACTAAGTAGGGGCATTAACAGACACAGAGGTTGCGCAGTTATTTTACCCTTCTTTGGACTTTTACTTTGCTGCCTGGGTGATATGGAATTTTCCTATTGGCTTTCCAGCAGTGGTTTGCTCTTGAGTTCTAGAAAACCATACGGTGTGATGATGGTACGGAAAGGGGACCACTCAGCGAGAGTACAGACTGCAGCTGTGGCTCACCAGCTGCTTTTCAGGAAGAGGTACTGGTTAAGGGACACGATGGTGAACTTATTTTAGTGAAGAAAGACAAAAATCAGCCAAAGGGTAGGAGATGGCTCTGATAACTTGCAGAGCTCACACACCTTGTACTACGGGACACACCAGGGGCCTTCAGATGGAACCACATCTTGCAATGGAGGACAGAGAATCTGACACAGACCTGGAGCCATGTCTATTGACAACAATTAGAGAAAACCTTAAAACTTAGGTGCCAGCTGTCACACACTGGCTATCCAAATCCTGGGCATCGCCCAATCCTGTATTAATGCATTTTCACATCATCACTGCACTTTGCAGTCTTTAAAGTGATATTAAAGGCAAGTTATAGGGAAAAAAAAAAAACAAAAAAAAAACACAAACACAGGATTAGTCATACGTACCTACTCTGTGCAGTGGTTTTGGGCAAAGCAGACCCAATTCTCCAGTTCTTGGGTCTTGGCACTCCTGACCCCTCCCCTCCTGCCATGTGCCCCCAGAGCAAACAGCTTGCTATGAGGGCACCCACACACAGGCTCAATCCCGAACCACTGCTGCGGCCCAGCCCCGTCCTCTCTCTCTCCTCATAGGCTCACTGGCTGTAACTGACAGCAGCAGGAGCCAATAGCCATTGAAGAAGGAGAATCCCCAGCGAGCCGAGGCTCTAGTGCACATCGCTGGATTGTGAAGGGGCTCAGGTAATTATTAGGGGGGGCTGAGGGAGCTGTCGCACACAGATTTTTTACCTTCATGCATAGAGTGTTTACAACCACTTTAACCCCTTCACACAAATATGCGGCCTCACAGAACTGGGCTTTTTTCCGTGTGGCCACATATTTGCATACCTGTCTTTGTGCTGGGAGCACACAAATGACCAGCGGCCCCGCCCCTCTTCCCCCCACTCAATTAACCCTGTGGCTTTCAAATTAATACTACCAAAGAATATGAAGATTCATTTGGGATTCCATATCTCCCTGTTAAAACCAACTATACCAAGTGTATTTCCAAATCGAGATCCGTAGACTCCTGCTCCACTGCTGGTCGAAGGTAATTACCTTTTACCAGCAAATGGAAGCCCAATTTGTCCTGAAAAAAAAAACAAAGTATAATTCACCTGGATG